TACATCAGAAATAAGATAAGTAATTAAGTCGAAAAACACCAAAGGTTCTCAAAAATTATGGACCGACCTAATAGTTAAAGCTGAACCTTTCAACGAATTATTTGAGTCATTTTTTTTCGGTTGGCCTTTCCGTAACATTCTGTTGGGGCCGAATCTTTCAAATCATGAACTCGGTTCGCCTGCCTTTCTTTCCGGCTTATTTATATCTTTTTTCCTCATAAGGAATGGTCAATTGTCCGTCCATTTGTAATGAGGCAAAGTTCGATGCAAGCGTCTTGCGTCATTTAGCTCAAATACGTTTTCGATATCTGCGGAACGATTCTACGGAAGGGGTTAGGAAAGATTCTTCGTTCTGTGGCTTTCTCACTATGGCGCTCTCTAAATCCCCCTAGAGCCTTCCATTATTCGCTGTGCACACTGCCAAAAACTTTCTTGTTTTCAATCATTGTGAGGGCTTATCACATATGCTAGAAGGAAATCTAGAATTTACCTTCCATATGTCAAGTGGGACACAAATCATCAAAATAACCAAATGTAAACACTTTCTGGGCTTCAGCGTTTCCAATGATTCGCACTTGTGAACTCGCTCTCATGAATCTAGAGTGCTATTCACTGGACCACCAGGCCAAACAATATAGTCGCTCTCTGGCTCACCTGATGCGAAGCATGGAGGATAGGAGAATGTAGAGGGCGCCACAGTGAGAAAGCCACAGTGAGAAGAATCCCTCGTAACTTCTTTCAGAGAATCGTTCCGCAGATACCGAAAACGGATTTGAGCTCAGCGTCGCAAGACGCGTCCGCGGACTACATCTCATTACAAATGGCCGGACTGACCAATTGAGCATTCTTTGTCAAAGTTGTTGATATATGAGGAGAGAACAGTGTTCTTTTCATTTAGGAGCACTTGGGTTTGTTACCGGATTCACGAAGTCCCTCTCATTTCAAATACGATGTCTGCTTGGACGATCCTGTGGCGGAGTCCTTCTTTGTCGACGTTTGGCAGAGCACTGCACGGTCAAATATGCTCATTTATGAAGAAGTGCGTATAAATGTGTAATAATAGCTAATATTTGTAATTTGATGCTAATCAGTAATTGTTAAGGTATTCCGGACATATCCAACCGACAACGTGGAAACCTTCGAAGAATTTGAAAAATGGACGGGGCAAATGCCTCTTGCAGAGTATTCACCACAGCAAGCTCAGGAAAAGCTGAGAGACGTGAATGGTAAGGGAATCTACGTGATTTCGCTCTTTATGTCGGTCACCATTTTGTTCTTTTAAATGAGTTCTACAAGAGTGCCTACAACGCTGTAGAAGAAAAGCATAGCTCTTTGTACTGAATTTCATACGGAGTTATTGTTTAACCCATTCGCGACAATGTCAGCCACCGGTGGCTGACGCGAAGATGTCCACTTCGGACCATGTCAGCCACCGGTGGCTGACGGGCTTTAAATGGAATTTTTGAAAACAAAAGGAGGTCTCTTGGGAGATTTTCTTTGCTGTGAAGAATCTTCATACCCTCATCTATCTAGGCCACCCCTGGGCAGAGGAAATCTCTATCCACTAGAATTTTATTGAAGAAAAAATAACCTGACTTAAAAATTTCACCGAAAAAGTTGAAATTTTTTTTCCGCTGAAACTTTTCCCATGGGGGTTTTCGAGGGTCCTGATCTCAAATATGATATCCATTTTTGCGCTGGCGCCAAATTGGCGCCAGTTGGCGCCAAGGGTGTCTTCACCAAATTCGCTGTAAACTTGCGTATGGGGGTTATTTGAGGCCCTGATTACGAATATGACATTCGTTTTATCGTTAGCGCTATTTAACACCTGTTTCCTGCTCGCCTGCACCTTCTCACTATTGGATCCAATCAGGACTAACAAGGGGGTCGTTCAGGATGTTGAAAGCTTTTTCGAAACGGTTTTCTGTATGTTATGGGAGCTCATGCGTAACTCGACACTAGCAGACCGTGAGGTCCATTTTCGCTGAGCAGGCCCAAAAAAAGGTGAGGAAATGGTCCAAGGTTCAATCCCTCATAATGACAAAATTTTTGCATTTAGGTTGGAGCTTCCCAATTTGCTCCAAAAACACCAAGAATAGATATAATGTTCATTATAAAGACCATCAGTAACTAGTGCTTTCAGATTTTCACCATAATGTGGCGGAAAAAAGTTGTTACGCCAGAGGGGCGCCAAATGGCGCCGTAGCGCAAATTGGCGTAGCAAGTGGCGTAAATTTTAGCATCGGTAGAAGGAAACGTCAATTTGTGATCAGGGTCATATACCAATTTACATCGAATTTGACGAAATTCAGTCAGGGCGCCATCTGGCGCCAAATGGCGCCAATCTCATAATCGTGATCAGGGCCCTTGATAACCGTCATAGGATAAGTTTCAGCGTGAACTACGGATGGCATATAGAAAAAAAAAAACAAGATGGATTTCCCCTGGGACAATGTCAGCCACCGGTGGCTGACATTGCGCAATCGCCTCTGCCGGCGCTGGTCCGAACGGGCAGTCTTCGAAAATCCCGCCCGGTCGCGAGTGGGTTAATATGGACGATAGAATCGCGCAATAGCAGAAAGGCTTTTCGTTCAAACTACGCTGCAAAGCTGCGTATCCGCTGTGTGGAGATGTAGAGCATTTTGTTGATCTTTGTCACTACGCTCTGGCTTGATTTCTTATTATCAACGCGCATAATCTAACCAGGAAAGGCCATCAGGCCGGCCAAGCCATTTCTTGCGATATATACCCTTGCACTCGCCTCGAGACGCTGAGCTCAAAACTGCCTTCACTATCTGCTAAACGTTCTTTGAACGGAGTTATAAAGCAAGGAAGCGCAGCGGTAGTGCCCCCTCGCAGGCAAGAGGTGGTGGAACGGTTTTTCGAGGAGCCTGCTTTTTTGTTTTTCAATGTCAATGGGGCAGAAAAGCTTCTAAATTCGTTATTTATCAACACTTGCCATTAGTTGCCTGTATGAAGAGTTTGCGAGCAGTTCCCACAACCTCTTGCCTGCGAGACAGGGCACTACCGCTGCGCTTCCTTGCTTTATAACTCCGTTCAAAAAATCGTTTAGCAGATCGGAAGACAGTTTTGAGCTCAGCGTCTCGAGGCGAGTTCAACGGTATAGAGCTCATTACAAATGGCCGGACCGGCCTAATGACCTTCCCTGGTAAGTAAGGCCGCGTTCATAGTTCGCGACTCGGGAGATTAGGATAGTAGTAGAGTAGGAGATTGCGCTGACAAGATTGGATACGTATCGATTGAAATCGCTGGAGAGTAGTAGATTGGGCGACTTCAAGCGAATAGATCAATACATATCTAATCTTGTCAGCGCACTATCCTAATCTACTACTATCCTAATCTACTACTATCCTATTCTCCCCGTTAATACACATTTTTTTCATTACCGCGTACTATCCTGATCACCGGAATCGTGAAATCTCCGAATTATGAACGGGGCTAAAGAAGCCAGAGCCGAGAGGAATGGTTTCATTGACTCCACTTTCAACGAGTCAAAGCCAAGGGAGGGATTATATTGTTATTGGCTTTGTTTACCCCTCCATAGGGTGACCGACCGTTTTTGGGGTGAAGCAATTCTTTTTTTTCTGTTTATTATGCTTCTATATTCTGTTTGTTTACGCTCCCTATTTTTCCTGGCAAAGTTTACATTTTTCCTTTAAGGTGTCCTGGTGGAATTCCCTTTGAATTTCTTATGCAAAGCGAATCTTACGCCGGGAATCACTTCAAAGGAAGGCCTTGTACCAAGTGCTGTATTCACGTGAAGCTTTTTGCTCCCTGTCGCCGCAATTGCAGTCGTACCTCTATGTACTTATTGTTTATGTGCAAGTAATTTTCTTCTTTCAACATAATTTTTGCCCCTTGATCTTATTTCCGCCTTTTTGGTTGGGGTGAGACTTGTTGACTCATTATGTGCAACACAGTGCTAGTCGAATTACCCTGCAGCCTTCTCTTTTTCTTCATGACGCCTCTCACAGTTATTTATTGAGTTCCCATAACAGAAAATCTCTCAAGTATTTGTGCCACAGCCTATTATTTTGATATATTTTTAATTGGTGGTATGGCACCGATGCCGTTTTAGAGTGTTAGTTTGATTTTACACGATATAGCTGAGCTGTGCAATCATACATTTTCACGAGATGTACTTTGTATACACGTATAATGTAAATTCATGGTGTTCGCTACTGCCTCGATGTGATTTTTGCCAAGTATGTGTAGATGTAATTAGCCGGTGCTTTCCAACTTTTTATTTTTGAATTCCTTCATTCATCAGTATTTTTTTACTTGTATTCGAACTGTGAAACTCGAACATTTGTGCACCTTGCCCTCGAATGCGCCTGGGCAGTTTTCCCGGTTGGATATACTTTGTTTAGTGATCTTCATCACGAATTGAGAGCGCATTGTCGTTTTTTTCCGACCAAGCAGCTGCTTTCATGAATTCTGGTTGCATTAACAGCTTTGCTTAATAAATTCCTTATCATACAACGTATATGGGTAGTTGTTGTTAATCGCCTGGGTATCCTTTTTGTAGTGTTCTGCTTGCTTTTCATTTAAATGATGATTGTTAATCGCCTGGGTAACCTTTTTGTAGTGTTCTGCTTGCTTTTCATTCAACTGATGAGCCGAGGTAAAGTGATGAGGTAAAGTGAAAATCGGTCGAGGATTAGTCAACGGCTCATCGAGGATTTTCGCCTGTTTGACCGCTCTCTCTCGTGAGCATTCACTCTTGCCACGCGCGAGCCGTCTGTGCCCTCCGCATGTACACTCACTGTCGACACTGTCTTCACACAGTACAAGGGATTTGCTCGACCATTATTCACCCTGGTAATGAGGCAGATAAAAATATGATCCTGAACTAAGAGCAGATTTTGTGAACCATGCTTATTCGTACTGTTGAATTTCCGTTCAGAGTAAAATAGTGTGTATTCTTTCAAGTTGGCTTTCTTTTATGATTTCTTCGATATTTTCTGTGGAAAGTGTGCCTAGCCCAAGTGTTCTATTCCTAGTCAATTGCATAACGAGAGTTTCAATTCAAAAAAAACCGGATTATTACGTAAATTGAACAGGGAAGATTTAAAACTCTCGCCGCACTATTCTTGGAGACCCAGGTATATCAAGTAGGTCAAGAATACACAAATATGGAGACTTCTGCGTGAACTTCCCAAGCGAGTTGTGAGCGGTCAAGGTAGGAGAATATGCAGACAAAAAGAATGGTATTAAATCTAAGCTGACCGTCAAGATCCCTGTCGTTGTAGAAAAAGGATGATAGAAACACCGGGGAGATGTAGGCGCTATCGCAAGATACGAGGCATTGTGCTGGCAGTACATCTGAATTCGTGTAAAGTCTTCGACGAGGGATGTTTTTTTTTTTCGAAAAAGGGATAAGCCTCACCCGAAAAAGAGACCCCAGGATGCATGAGCAATTTTCAATTTCCAGTTCCTGTCCCTTCTCAGGCTTGGTCCTAGAGGGAGCCCTCGTATCTTGCGAATAGCCGAAAATGATGGTGGACCAGCTCGCCTCGTATTAAAGCTACATTTCCTGCCAAATGAAACTGCTCATAGTATCAATTCGCTACGAAGGTCCACCTAACAGTTTTGGTCTCCATATTTCCAACCAGCACTCTCCATTATCTCACAAATGTTGGATTAGGAACAAAACTTTCGCCCCAGGCAAGACCCCGACCCGCACCTCCCGCTTACCGGGCAAATGCGCTGCATGTTACGCTATGAGGCACCGTCGACCAAACTCAATTTTTCATGGTGTATTTACCGTAGCTTATCAACGCTCAGACGCATAATGTGATGAGCTGGTTAACCGACATCCTTCTGTTATAAAAACCAATAACTTGGGGGTCGGTTTGTATGTATCTCTGCATGTATGCCTGCGTGTCCGTTCGCAAAATTAAATGAGTGATAAGGCAGCTGATGGAATAAGCAAGCGGCTGACAAATCTGGGTCCTCGCAGTACTCGCGGTATCGATGTTTTGCAATGGCATGATTGTGATAACGCCCCAAACAGCTGTGTAAACACCTTTCCTAGCACACTTTCGTGCTGGAGAGCAGGGGAGGGAGGAGGTGAGAATAAGGAGAGGAGCAGGAACGCAAAAGCTCACGCAGGAGATGAGCTTGTGGAGTTGCTGGGACCTGCGGCGTCGGCAATAAACCGCGAGGCTAGAATGGAAGCTTCAGCTATTAGTTTCGACTTGTTTCTTTAGCAATTGATTGCAAATTGTTTTTGGTTGTTTTTTTTTTAGTTTGGTTAGTTTGTTTTTTGTTTTGTTCATAGGTTTCGGGTTTGTTTATTTTTATTTTTTGTTTGTAAGCCACAATTCTTAGTGAAACTTTTTGTCAGGCGGATAGCTGCCAAGAAATCAGTAGTTGACAACCAAAACCAAACTTCTGTACGTGATCTGTTCACTTTAGGTCTGCAACATGCCAGAAGAAATCGAAACCTCTCTTACAGGACAGCTAATTACTTTAAGGAGGTGTCCTGCAAACGAATGGCCGCAAACTCAAGGGTAAACCTCTGCACTGCGCATCCTTGGTTTGGGTACAGCTTAGAGATCATACAGTGCTCCACACAGTGTAATCAAGACATATGGCAAATTCATTAACACTGACAATTACTGATAATTTAACAGGAAAACACTTGGCTATGAAGTTTTTTCATAGTATAATGCACAATAAATTAAGTAATTCAGGGATCAATGATGTTCACACCTGATTCGTGTGTGATGTCGCTAAGGAGTCTAGCTGCCTCGCCCTCCATGAAGGCTTACTTCTGTCAAGAACGCCCCTTTCCCAAAAACATTGTGTTTTTTCGGTCGTCGGACGTCAATTTCGTCGTCGGAATTAAGATAGTGGGAAACAGATTTGTCGGGTATAATTCCGCGACAAGTCGGGTTGTCAGCCCTTCAACATATTCGCGATAGCCGGCAAGCGGGGTGTTCATTGTTGATACAGTGGAAGTGGCCTGCAAAAGTGGACAATTATTGAAAATCTCGGGCACCCGACGGAAGGCCCGTCGCGCAGCAACAAGACAGAGTCAGCGGACGAAACGCAGCGCGTACTGTAGTAATTTCGCATCAGGTTGAATAGTATGTACATTTTTACGTCTTACATCGCACATCAAGCGCTGCTACTCGTTTTGCTGACTTATGCCTTTTTTGCCGGCGCGACGGGTCCTCCTGTCGGGTACCGAAAATCGCCCACGATTGTAAAATAGTGCTATACGAAGTTATTACGGATGTAGGCACAAAGTTGTTCACAAATCATTTGGAAATGCTCCAAATTCCCTTACTCGGCCTAATTCAAAGTATAGTTTAAATGCGTACCACCGCTATTCAATGGCGATGTCATCGATTCGGTCGAGGCTTCTGGTGTTCAGTGGTGACGGATGACTCTGAAGTAACATTGATTCTACAAGGCTTTTTTTTTATCTTGAACTACTCTCAATTGAAATTAGTTGTCTGCTATCAGAAGAAACGGACTTTAAAGGAATCTTGCGCGGAAAAATCATGATTCTATTTCAGCCATAAATCACTGGCTTGAGACTCATTATCCACGATAATAGTGAAAAGAACTGAAGTATTGCTTTCGTTTTGATTAGAAATTCGAAAACTCGAAAAGGCTGCTACGCGTTCGAATTGCCCACGGACGTCTTTCACGAATGCTGGCGACGGGGATGCTCAAACTTGGTTCTTGGAGTGCATTCACTAGAAGCTCTTTCTGGCCTTCTGCTTCGTTGCATTCACATCTTACACTTCTACTCCATCCTATTCCATCGATCGATTTGTCTCCACTCTCCGAAATCGCGCGCTTTAACCCGATTCTCTCATTGCGTCGCCTGGTACGTAGCCGGCCAAACGCCGTCTTCTTTCCATGCCTCGCCTGGCTCTGCCTCCTGGTCCTTCGATGGTCCATAACGTGTAGTTTTTGTACGTTTGTTTCTCTTCAGAAACCGAATCTTCATGCGTGAAACTTTGTGTGCTATTTCCAGTGATCACAACTGACATATTCATGTTAGGAAAGAGTGCAAGAATTTTCCGCGCAAGATTCCTTTAACACGTTGGCGACAATGTCGAGCGTGCGCCGGGCGACACCCCTTGAATTTTATTCCTTTGCGCATATTCCAAATTTTGAGCGGTGCTATATTAATCCGGAATACGTTGTCAAACTTGTAATGGCCACGTTCTTTGAACATCTTTCACAGTGAAAGTTTTAGAGAAGGGTTGCTTGGAATTGCTTCTTCAGTGATAAGGTTGTTCTTTCTTGATGTAGAAAGCTGCCTTTTTGTATGCTATTAGCTAGCTCAATGATACAACAATTGGCAAAAAAGAGATTTGTGTTCAACCTCATTTGTGGATTCTACAGTGGAAAATTGGAATTTTCCGAGAGCGTTCCGAAGTTTCACCTTTGCGGGACGGGGAGATTTTTGCTTGGTTTGCAGCCATTAAGCATTTGTACGAGACAAATGATGTTTCAGCAGTTTCCGCATTGTGTTCTCATTGATTTGGTATGTACACCGTATGGAAGCGTTTCAGCATTAGGACGCAATTTTCGGGAACACCCAAAAACTGCTTGGTCGCCATGTGTTAACGAGTGGTAAAACTTCCCCTCATAGATCAGGTTACTTCCTGTAATCGTGTTCATATGAAGTACAAGGAAGGTCGTAGAGAGATCAACATGTAATAAAAAAAATTAGTGCTATGCAACTTTTTGGAACTTACTGGGGAATCCATTCAAGTTTCATGGAAGTTTATTA